ATCACCTGTTCAAGACCAACTTCTTCTTTTGGAGAATAGAGGAAAGAAAAGATGGTACATAAGCAAGGGAGAACCCAGATAAGGGAAAGGAATGACTGAGCTCTTCTACTTTTGATTGGTCAAATTCTTGACACCAAAACCAAAATTCACTTTGGAAAACAAAACACAAATTTCAAACCACATATCCTACCACCTTCCAGACTCCCAAGGTATCGTTTCATTAGCTCTAAGTGTCCATGATTCTCGCATCAATACATTGGCCCAAAGGAGCAGACCTCATCTGGCCAATCCAGCAAGATGGAACCCCAGTTCAGCCACTGGATGACCTCTGGCAGGCACTTAACCTCACAGTGGCCGGGTTTCCACACCTGGAAAGCAGAGGCGGCAGCCTTTCTGTCAGGCTGGGTTGGATGGGGAACAACTAATAAAAAGAGGATCATAAAACCCTTTGCAATGCACTTAGTGTCCTGTAAAAACTTAATGATTATAATCAAGCTGTGGCTAGAAGTCTGCATGGTCTGCACATGACAGTCAGCAGTCATTGCGCTGGTATCTGATAAGAGGACGCTCTCTGCCCCACTGCCTTCATCAGCTGCACAAACTGGTCTCGGCCACGTCTGGTTTCTTCACACAAAGTTGTCAGGGGGAAAACATCACTGAAGTCAAGTTTTCTTGATCTAATCATCACTATGTTTCATTAGAGATAATATCCTCCCAGTCTCCTCAGGAAGATCATGAACCTCCGCTCTCTGTGGCTGAGGGGACCTCCTTTATGAAACTGGCACCTGCTGCAGATGGCGACCCACTGTACAGCATGGGTTCATTGTAACCACATCAGAGGGGACAAAAGCACTAGCTGAACTATCATGTGGGGGGAGGGTAAATGGAATATCTTTTAACTGGGACTTTCCATGTCAAAGCATTGTCATCTCCACACAGGCAGCAAAGAATGAAAAGAGTAGTACAGAATGATAGTGTAGGATGCTTTTAGAAGCTGATAGATCTGGATTTAAATTCCAGCTCTGCCACTTCCCAACTTCTTGGACCTTAGGTAAGTTACTGAACATCTCCAAGTCTCAGTTTCCCCATCTACAAAATGAGAATAATGCTTACTACACAGGGTTGGTGTAAGAATTAAATAAGAGACAACAGTTACTCTTGTATCTGGCTTATAGTGATGAGAATGATGACGAAAATGATGATGACAAAAAATAGACTCCCTATCACCATGTCTTTCTCTTTTTTTTTGAGACAGAGTCTTGCTTTGTTGCCCAGGCTAGAGTGAGTGCCGTGGTGTCAGCCTAGCTCACAGCAAACTCAAACTCCTGGGCTCAAGCAATCCTGCTGCCTCAGCCTCCTGAGTAGCTGGAACTACAGGCATATACCACCAAGCCTGGCTAATTTTTTTGATATATATATTAGTTGGCCAATTAATTTGTTTCTATTTATAGTAGTGACGGGTCTCGCTCTTGCTCAGGCTGGTTTTGAACTCCTGACCTCGAGAAATCCGCCCGCTTCAGCCTCCCAGAGTGCTGGGATTACAGGCGTGAGCCACTGTCTTTCTTATAAGTCAAAACTCCCCCCACTAAACTGGAGATGCAGAACAGATGTCTGTCTGGTCACCTTTGAGTTCTCAGTACCTGGGCCAGTGCTCACTAAATTTGACTAGACTCAACTGATCATATGATGCTGAGTACAGAGGAACAGGACGAAATATGTCATTTGCTTGGATTAGAAAGATGAAGCCTCCGTCATGAACCACTCACTGTGAGCAAAACAAGCTCACTTAACCTTGCCTCGGCTGGTGCCCCAGGCGGTTTCCTCACAGAGGCAAATTCTGCTTATTCAAGGCCTCATTTGAATGATAATAGCAGAGGAAGCTCAGACCAACTCAGGTGATGCTCTTGGAATTGCTTTTAAGATTCAGATAGGAAACCAGCCCCATAGCAAAACTAATTTCTTTTCCCCAACCTCTGTTTTTAATCTCCAAAAGACAGCACTAACCAGGCCAGTGTAGGAAGAACTAGGATATTAATTTTAATGTCCTCATTCTCATTCCCACCTGTTGTGTCCTGACAATCCAGCCAACCATTCAGTACTCCCAGATTTTAAAAAACAAAAGTGTGCCCTTTCCCTACCTTATGGTTTATTGTGATTTTTCTCAAGTATCCCATTTCTACCAAAAAGTGACTTCTGAATTCTACAGAGCTACTTTCTGGTCATAGTATTTATATATGGACTTTTACATGACACCTAAAAGCAATTCATTCATTCTTTTCAATCAACAAATATTTCTTGAGTGCCTGCTCTACACCAGGCACTACGAATACAGCAACAAACACAACAGACATGGAACTTGCTTTCATGGAACCCATAACTTACTATATTCAACTCCTTCCTAAATGAATGGATGGATGGTTGAAGCCAACAACCTCTTCTGTGAAGTCAACCCTTCCAAGGACCAAGGAGACAGCCCTTTGTTAAAGAGTGATAAAGTCTCCACCACTTTCTGACTGGTTAACTATCTTTTTCTCAAAACATACTTTGCCCATTCCTACCCTCTATCTTTCCTCACACTGCCTAGAATGCCTCCGTTCTACTTGGCCCACCTGAAATCCACTCATTCTATCCAGAACAAACTCCATCTCCTCCCCAAAGCCCTCCCAAACTGCTTCATCCAGCAGTGGTCCCTTTCTCTTTTAACTTGTTGAGTGTGCTCATGAATTATAACCAAACTTCACAACTATGTCATACCCTCTGAATGCCTGGGATTGGTCTTTTCCAATGCTCTATTCCCTTTCACCTTGTGCAGTACTTCCCATGTATCAGGTTCTTAATGAAAGTTTTTGATGAGCTGAGTAGCAAGGCACTGTGGGCATTCATGGAACAGATGAGGATAAGAGATCTAGAATGATGAAATCAGTATTCTAAGGCTTGTATTCAGACTTCCAAAGAGTTTGCACCTTGAAAAGTATAACAAAAGGGATTTCAAAAAGTGATTTTGATATATGTTGGTCCTCAAAGAAGGGATTGCAAATATATCAGAAAAACTGACTTTTTGCCCTCTGAAAAGTTGCAATTATTCCCGATTTGTAACACCTATAGGATGTGGTCCACTTCAGAAATCCAATTTGTGCTGCTGAAAGCACTTGTTTTTGTAATTTGGGAAATACTTTCAAAAGATGTGGTTACAGATGAGCCCTTAATGGTTCACCCTCTCCAGAGCTGACGGTGTGAGCCAGGCTGGGCTTGGTCAGACACCCACAGAAGCAGCTGCTACAGCACTCCTCATTTACAGATAAGGAAAAGCCTTGAAGAAAAACATCTGAAAAGTTCCAATCACACATCTGGCAAAATAGCTAAATTAACACAAATGCTTACTGTATAACCACTTTCATGAGTTTTAAGGTTTAAAATTTTTAAAGGCTATTTAACTTTATCACACTTAAAAAATTTTATTAAGGCCCATGCCCTGCCAGGTGCTATATAAACTGAGAAAATAAAATATGTTCTTGTCTTCTAGAAGCATTGACTCCTGGAAATTCTCTCGTTTCTGCTTTTTTATATCTTAGAATGAAATTTTTAATTCCTGCTGATATTCTGATGGTTATCTCTTTGTTTAATCTCCTTTCTCTTGGAATTAAACTTTTGTTTTTTAAAATTCAATGTATTTAATTTTAATAGATTACATATTAACATGGTTTAAATATCAAAAAGTATAAGAAACTATATAGTAAAAAGACACTTCCCCAAACCTTTCCCTATCAGTAACCACTGTTGTTAGGTATATATATATATATCTCTTACAAAAAAAATGTTTAGTCGAATGTTTATAGCAACATAATTCACAATTGCAAAGCTGTGGAAACAACCCAAGTGACCATCAATTCATGAGTGGATTAATAAAATGTGGTGTATGTATACCATGGAGTACTACTCAGCTTTAAGAAACAATGGGGATATAGCACCTCTTGTATATTCTTGGATAGAGCTGGAACTCATTCTACTAAGTGAAGTATCTCAAGAATGGAAAAAGAAGCACCACATGTACTCACCAGCAAATTAGTATTAACAGATCAACACCTAAGTGGACATATAGGAGTAACATTCATCAGGTGTCAGGAGGGTGGGAGGGGGGAGGTGGGGATGGGTATATACAACCACAATGAGTAAGAGGCGCAACGTTTGGGGGATGGACATGCTTGAAGCTCTTACTCGAGGGGGGAGGAGGGGCATGGGCAATATATGTAACCTTAACACTTGTACCCCCATAATACGCTAAAATTAAAAAAAATGTTTAGTATATATAAAAGAACAGTAATATATAGTCTTATTTTTGGAATGAAACCTTTCTGATCACAACATATCCCACTCAAATCATCAGGAGGTAGAGTGGAGTGCCTTCTGCTACCTTGAACCATACCTGGAGTAGAATAGGGGGCTCAATAAATGCTTATGGACCAAAAGAGAGTTACTGTGGGAAGAACCAAGAAATACACAGCCTGTCTTCTGCTCTTTTACTGATGCTATGAACTCAGTCAGATCCTCACTGGAGGCCAAGGGACAAAGACCTTGACTGGTTCCCCCAAAGCCTCTTCATCACTATTTTATTTTCCAACCTGAGTTTGAAATGGTTTTAAGGGTGGGATGGGCAAAGGGAAATAAAAATAAATAAATAAAGGAGAAGAGAAGAGGGAATGAGGCAAGAAAAGAAACTGAAAGAAGGATGCTGGAGTTGGGGGAGTGGAGGAGGCAGAGCTCCAGGCATGCACCCCTCTGAGGGGAAGGGTCACAACGAAAGCCACCAAATACTCTGAACATTGTCACCCTCCCCCCCACCTTGTTCCACCTCCATCCTAGGATTCACAGTGTTGAAACACCCAAGATTAGGATTCAATAACTATATCCCGATATGAGGTGGTTATTGGATGTCTAGGCCTAGAGAAAAAATTCCAAGCCACACACACCTGCCTGTTGTTCTCTTTTCCACATCTGGGAGGCCATGACCTTTATTCCCACAACACAAACTATCTATTGTTTGTGGAGCTTCAGTTTCCAACCTCCTTTGTGGTATGTACTTTTGTCAGAAGCAAAATCTCTCTCAACAAAAAAAATTTTTTTTTTCAATTATTTAGATACAAATTTCCTTATCTCACCCTAAAGAGTGGCTTACCACTCTACTAGAAACAGATCTAAGTATAATAGAGAATGTCACCCAGCACCTCTACCCTGGAGGAGCTATGGCCATTCTTTCATATGGAAGCTGAGAACCTTTTAATGATACATACCATAAACTCTCTACAACCCAGTCAAAGATGCCTGCTTCCTTCATTCATGGATTCATCAAATTACAAAAGTCAAATTCATTTGTTCCATTTAGTGTGTCTTTTGGCAAATCCCAAAGCTCTGTGAAATTGAGGAGCCACTGGTTAGGATTAAGATACAGAACAGAGAAAATAAATTACTTGATATCTATAACCAGCTTAAAATAAAGAAATCCAGGAGTCCTCTGCACTCCAGGTGACAGCAGGAGTGGGCAGAAGGTAGAAATGCCCTCCCGGGGCACTCGTGCCCAGTCACCCTGCATGGTATGACGTAAGATGAAAGCATCTGCTGACTCTCAGAGGTATAATTACCACCAGGGTGGGGGTATAATTAAAGTAAGGATAATTTACCTTAAAGAAGATAAAAATTAAGAATTATTAATGATCATAATAATTAGCCCTTTTATATCTAAGAATCACAAAATGCTTTACAAGCTGTAATTATCACAGCTCCCCTCTGAGGAAGGGATTCCTATCATATAGTTCCTCATTTAACAGAGGGGTGAAGTAATGGGCACAGAAGAAGGAAGGCAGGAGTGGGAGGGGTGGAGCAACTAAGAAAGTGGGGAAATTAGAAAGAGGCCCCAGAGGGGCTGACTCCCGTCATGGTGGGTATCCTCATCCCCAAGCCATCATCCGAACAGACAGTCAGATCAAGAATTTCATCTCATTCTGACCTGTTGGCCATTTAAACTGCCACAATGCAATGAAATTATATCATATCAGCTAGGATTTTATTAAACACGTAGTAGAAACAAAAGATCCAAGTAAGAAGACAAAACAAGCATCCATTAAATTAGAGAATAATATGAAAATTACACATTAACTAGCACTAGGTTGTATGGTGCTGACTACACATGTGATGGAAAAAAATTTTTTTAATTGGAAGACCATTACATGCAAAGGTCAAGGAAGGTTTTGGGAAGGAGATGGAACCTCTGTGGGTCTTCAAATAAACTATATTAGGTTTTAGATTGACAGAGGTGAGATCCAGGAGGTGGGTCAATGAGTAAGAGGAAACAATAGCAAAACTTAAAAGATTTAATACATAATTTCAAAGAAAACGCTTCACTGGAGAGATGTTTGCAGAGCTTGACAAAGAATCTTACCTTTTTCAAAGCCATCTAAAATCACCCTGATTTGGAAGTTTTCCCAGAGCATCAACATCATAGTTCATATATAGGGTTCTGGAGAAGCCCATTAAGCTGAAGATGGCACTAGAACCTTCTCTGCTTTATCTAAATCTTTACACTGGATGTTATCCAATTGAGCCAAGGGAGGTAAATGCCACAGAATGTATGTGGTATCTTCTTTTTCTGGGTTCTAACAGGAAAAAATGGGAGATGAGCTCTAATAAGATAAAGACCAGAAAAATCTAATACTTTCTTAGTTCTTTATTTGTTTGTTTGTTAATCCAGCAGAGCCCCACCTCCAAAGATTTCAACACTGATAGGGGCTTCATGATTAATGTAATATTAAAGCATCTGAGTGATATAAACTTTATTTTCTCTTTTCAATTCCTCTGTAATAAAGAGCTGGAGTCTCAAAGTCAAGTACCAATATACTACTCTGGGACCACTGATAGAGAACGACATTCCTACTGAAATGGAGCAGGGGCACTTCAGTCATTCCTGGGCCACTAAATAATGTTCTTTGACCTCTCAGTGCCTCAGTCCCCAGTCTTAAAATAAGAGAGATAAAGAAACTTTTTGTCTATAAAAATATAGATATCTTCAGATTATAAAAACACCATTATTTTCTGGTGAACCACAATAAATGGGCACGACCACATTTCAAGGATTCCCAGTTGGTCTTGAATAAAAATAGACTGAACCAATTTGTTAGGATTTGATAGTTTTCTATGTTCTCTGGCATTTACCAAGCTTTCAAAGAACTAGAAAACAATGAAAACTATTGACCTATTTAAACCTTATGTCAGGGACTTCTATTAAAATGATATTCTTTTTTTTCTTTTTCCTTTTTATTTTTTTTTTTAATTTCAGCATATTATGGGGGTACAAATGCTTAGGTTACGTGTGTTGACTTCCCCCCAGAGTCAGAGCTTCAAGCATGTCCATCCCCCAGATAGTGCACATTGCAAACATTATGTATGTATATACCCCTCCCCTCCTCCCCACTCCCATCTGCCCAATGCCCAATAAATGTTATTCCTATATGTTATTCCTATCAGCACTTAGGTGTTGATGAGTGAAACCAATTTGCTGGTGAGTACATGTAGTGCTTATTTTTCCATTCTTGGGATACTTCACTTAGTAGAATGGGTTCCAGCTCTATTCAGGAAAATATAAGAGGTGCTATATCGCCATTGTTTCTTATAGATGAATAGTACTCCATGGTATACATATACCACATTTTATTAATCTACTCATGTATTGATGGGCACTTGGGTTGTTTCCACATCTTTACAAAATGATATTCTTAACACATTGACTGCCACACTAGAAAAAAAATTTTTTTCCTTGGGGTCACAATGTTTTACTATGAAAATAGAATAAAAACTTCAAAAACAAAATAATCCTTTCTAATTTAATGAAAAATGTATGACTTTTTTAATTTTCTGTGCATAAGTTATATGCAATTTGAAATATAGTTCACACAGGTCCCAAGGTTAAAGAGATGTATGAGTTACATATGCTTCTCAAAGCCCCAGGCTCAAAACTAGTGTGAATTAAATACAACTTACATGGCAGTTAATGTGTTAAATAATGACACTGTGTAAAATACAAGAACATTATGTAAAAATGATGATCACTTCACTAGAAGAATATCGATCTTGATTTTAGAATTTAGCGTTTGAATCTACTTACAATATTTCTGACGATGTACCAACAACCAGAAGGAAGAGAAGCCAATTCTCTTAGGTCATGTAGGTTTTCAAATATTTTCCTTTATGCTGTACAGACTTTAAATAAGAGTGGGTAAGAGAGCCATCATTGGATTCAAGATTTACCTTCATTCAGAGAAGAGAAAGAGTTTAGCTGTAATCATGAATGCAATTTCAAGCATTTTCCTAGGCTATTCAAAAGCATTTTCCTTTTGGGTGTACTTGTATAATATTTGTTTTGCTTGCTAAATTATGATTTTAAAATGATTAATAGATCTTCCCTTCATTCTCATGGGACCTAATAAATGTCCAGTCCCATTTTGGGTATATTCACTACAGAAAAGTAATGGACTCACACAAATGCATCCTATCAACTAGGCTGCAGTTTTCCAATAGATCACACAGAGGCAGATAAAAACAGAAGCAGATGAAAGTCAGGGCTTGCCCAGGTTATTCCTTGGAGGACACCTATACAAAAGGCCAGTGCCATCTGTGAAAGAGTGGGTTTCCATGATGACTTGTGGTTGCAGTGTGTACAGTGCTCATGATGGTCCTATCCTAGAATCCAAAGTTTAAGAGAACTGTATAAAACCCTAAATTGAAGGGGGAAAAAAAGAGAACTCTTCATCCTTCACCAGAGAGCTACCACATCAATCTTGCAAGCTGAGCCCAAGAAATAATGACAGTTGGACAGCTCTAGAAAAACCGCTTGATCACAGACTTCAGTGCTGAGGTCCTTCAGGAGGCAGAAGTGAGCCAGGCTTACAGCTATCTTCTCATCCTGTCACTCCATCTTCCTCTATACTACACAGCTGGGATGGCAGCAAGTGAGGGGGGAAATAGAATTCAACTCCACTACCATTTAGACTCACTCACACATAAAGAAATAGCCATCAAGATTTAGGTTCCAAAATTTCACATGCCATTGAAGGACCCTACAGTCTTCTCAAAACTCAGAAAACCAGTACTTGCCTCTGTTGGACAAAGGAGGAGACAGAAATGCAGAGAGGCCACTGAATCATTTAATAGTCTCCATAAATCTATTATGAACCAAAGTTTCATGTTGTCTAAAATGTAAGGATGGGAGTCACTTACAACTAGGAATAAAATCCAGTTCCTTACAATAAAACAGAACTGAGATTTGCAAATGATGGCCAGGGTTGAGAAAGTCCTGACGGATATAATGGGCTAGAATGACGGATTACCTTAATGTGCTTCCAGGAGAAGCAGACTCAGGTGTTTAGGTGTCATAATCATTAGTAAGTTAGGCTGAGCAGGATGATTATATCTACAATAAGGCATTACACCAGCTCTTTTTCCCCAGGGACATCAATATGCTAATGAGCAAAGAAATGAGCAAACTTCGTTTAGAAGTAATATCTCTAAGAATTAAATTTCACAGATTTCAAGTTTTCCTATGAACAGTTTAATGAAAACATATTCCTGAGGTACCCTTCAAAATTGTTTACTGAGGGAGGCAATCCCCAATCTGTAGGAAATCCACCATATAAGACTAAAGAATACAAATGTAAAATTGTTTTCCCACTTGCATTTTTAGAAAAGTTAACCAATTCCTTATATCTCCCCCATTGTCCTAGAACTGCTTCAGGCATGGCTTATGAGCAGCTTCCCATGGACTGTCACATCCCATGGAGGAATTTATCATTCCTCATCAGTTTATTTCAAAGTTTCTGTTTAATCCCAACCTAGAATTTATATCTTTTATAAAGCAAATGGCTTAGAGGTCACTCCTTTGTAATAAAATCATAATTGATTGAGATTCTGAACATTTAATACTTTTGTTTTATTGTTTAACTTAATTTTAATAATTAAAGAAAAGTCGAGATTCTTCCAAATATTCTACCCTTTCATGTCAGGTGGGGCCAGTACCCTAACTGTCAGGAGGTAAGGTCTGTGAACCTTGTGCCAAACAGCTACGTGAGCAAATAGTGAGATAAACAAGCCATTCATGGAGACAGAGGTGGAGCTGGGCTTGGTTAGGAATGAATCAGGCCATCCCACAGAATGGGTGTCTCCTTCCAAGTTGCTCTCCAGGGCACAATTAAAACTCCTATAAAAGGCCCAGCTCCCAGTTACCCAGTACACTTGCCAGTGGTGTCAGCGAGCACTCAACTTCTTCCTCTGGTGAAGTGGGTAAGTCCCATTTTGTCAGATCATGGTCTTCTGTACAATTCTTCATTTTTCTAGCTATTTTAGATGTTGGGGTATGGGAGAAGTTTCTTTATGCCAAAAGGGATCAGTCTCTTACAGGGATGGCTAAATCCCACTAATTCCATCCCATCTTCTTATGGTTGGAGCCATCACTAGAATGGCCTCTTCTCCCAAGGCTCTGAACTCTATACTTTTGCACATCTGAAGATGATCATGAGTGGCTCTAATAGGGCTTGTCTTCCTAAAAACTGTCATCTCCAAAGTTTACCAACCCCCTCTTCTCTTGTTATATTGGTTTTACCTAATATGGACCACCTTCATAGTTATGGTATCTGAAGTATCCGAGTTGAGAAGTAGATAAAGAAGTTAGCTAGATGAACTACTATACACACCCAGACAGCAAAGCCACTCGTGTATTCTTTTAACATCTGCTGGCTAATGTTTTTTATAATGCCAAGAGTCAAATGGTTTATTTGGGTTTAACAAGAGCTAACCATAAGAACAATATCATTCAAAAATTTCCAGGTTCAGTTTGTCTTACTGACTCTGGTAGCCAATGAGGAAGGACCTCTCAGAAGCTTTCAATAATTGAATATCTGACTATCTGTAATATATCTGAGTTGAAGCAAGTAACATGCACTCTGTGTTTTGTGCACTGATGTATCTGAATTTTATAATGCCATCTTTTGCCTACGAAGAAGTAGTGTTTAATCTCAGAATTGGTGGCATAAATTATACTCCTAGATCTCTTATAGACTATAATAAGGAAGAATAATTCATATTAGCTTTTCATTGTTCTATTTACTACCAGATGTTTTGCTGATACAATTAGCTGTACATGGCTTCTATCCACTTTAAGATACTTTCAAGTCTCCCTTCTTCATTTGGCTTTCACCTGTCCTCTTTGCTGAACTTTAGAGGAAAGTGTTTATGAATAGCAACATATAAAATTTAAATTTCTGCACCCATTGCTTCACTGTCTGCTCTGTAATATGCTAGGGAGCTGGAAGAAAGAGAGAAGGAAAGGATATGGATAAGCCAGATTGAGTGGATAATCAAAAGTTGACTACAGGATAGTCTGAAGATGATTCCCTGACTTGAAATTTCCCAGGATCTCTCTTCCCATTTGTGAATACTATATTCAAAGATAAAATGCTTTGAAAGTCCAGGTTGAAAATAACTCTTGCTGTAGAGTCAAATTATTTAGGGATCTGCCTAAAACAGTGTGACTAAAGCCTTCCAAAGAGCAGAAACAGAGTTTTGACTCTGGATCCTATTTTATTGTTCCAGGCTTACTTGAACTTGAAGGAAAGAAAAAAATGTCTCCACTTCTGATAAGCATCTATAATATCACTGAAGTTTTTGATCAATATGCCTCACATGATTGTGATGGGGCATCATTAAGCAAGAAAGACCTGAAGAACCTCCTTGAAAGGGAATTTGGAGCAGTCCTTCAGGTAAGAACTAACAATAAAAGGAAATCTTTTATTTAGAGCTATGAGATTTCTTCTCAGGAGAGACCAGAGCAAGATTTATATTTATTTTACACCATGACAGGTCTACACTACATCCCCCACTCATTTCTGAGTCTCAAGGTACTTAATTGGCATTATAATCTGAGTACTAAAGAAGTTGCTAGCAAATATTTCATGTACTTGATGGCAATGTCCATATGAATGAGCTGTTCCCAGGACATTACCACCAAAGATGTCGAATCAAATTAGACTTGGGGAACTTAAATTTGTTTCCAAATTTCAAGGACTAAAATCAGCCTGTTCTCTACTAAAATTGTGTTACCATAAATGTTTTCTTCTGTTTTCAAACGTGGAATAGAAATCAAATCAAGAGTACTGGCTATTTCAGACAGAAATGGCTGTTGCAAATCTTCATAAACTTATACTGTATCTCTCTGTCAAGAATGAGTTCATTCAACTTATCCACTCAACTAAACTGCTTTATTTTGATTAGATGTAAATTACGAGATGCAAAAATCTCCAAAGAATGAATCCTTCAAAATGTGTTCATATTTTACGTGGGGACAAGACTTCATACACAGTGGCCGGTTTTCTCGCTGCTTTGAATGTCTCTTGAATGCCAGCATAGCATAAAATATATTGTGTGAGAGAGTGAAATTTTACTACCTGTAGATAATGCGTTGTAAAATTTTTGTTTTCATCTTTTTCATAGAGACCACACGACCCTGAGACAGTAGATCTGGTCCTGGAACTTCTGGATCGCGACAGTAATGGGCGTGTCGATTTCAATGAATTCCTCCTGTTCACTTTCAAGGTGGCTCAAGCTTGTTATTACGCTCTTAGCCAGGCCTCGGGGCTAGATGAGCAGGAGCAGAGAGCCCAATGTGAGGGAAAGGGGAATCTGTCCCGAGATCGTAGGCAAGAAGAAGATCAAAGGAGATTTGAGCCCCGAGACAGACAATTGGAAGAAGAACCTAGGCAACCACACAGGCAAAAGAGGCAGGAACAGGAGCGGGAACTCGCTGAGGAAGAGGAGCAGAGGGAGAAGCACGAGAGACTTGAGCAGCGCAACAGGAAGGCCCGCGACGAGGAACAGCGGCTGCAAAGGCGAGAACGGCAAGAACTGGAAAAGCGCCTAGCAGAGGAAGAGCAGCTGCAGAGGCGCCAGGGTCGCAAGGCTGAGGAGTTTCCAGAGGAAGAGGAACAGCAAAGGTGGGAGCGACGGGAGGTGAAGAGGGAGCGCCAGGAGGAAGAACAGCAACTGCAAAGGCAGTGGCGCGAGCAGGAGAGGCTGGAGCAGGAGGAGAGGCTGGAGCAGGAGGAGAGGCGCGAGCAGCGGCTGAAGCGCGAGCAGGAGGAGGAGAGGCGCGAGCAGGTGGAGAGGCGCGAGCAAGAGACGCTGGAGCAGGAGAGGCGCGAGCAGCAGCTGCAGCGCGAGCAGGAGAGGCTCCAGCAGGAGGAGAGGCGCGAGCAGGAGAGGCGCGAGCAGCGGCTGAAGCGCGAGCAAGAGAGCCTGGAGCAGGAGGAGAGGCGCGAGCAGCGGCTGAAGCGCGAGCAGGAGAGGCTCCAGCAGGAGGAGAGGCTGAGAGCGCAGCAAGCGCTTGGCAGGAGAGACGAGAGCAGCAGCTCAGCGGAGCAAGGAGGACTCCAGCAGGAGGGCGCGAGAGTTTGAGGAGGAGAGGCGCGAAACAGCGAGGAAGAGGCTCGAGCGCGCTCAGCGCGAGCAGGAGAAGGGAGCAGAGGGAGGCTGGAAGAAGGAGAGGGCTCGAACAGCGCTCAAGCGCGAGCGGGGAGGAGGAGAGGCTGGAACAGGGAGGCGAAGCAGCGGTCAGCCGACAGAGAGGCGCGGCAGGAGGAAGGCGCGAGAGCGGCTGAGCGCCGAGCAGAGAGGCAGGACAGGGGAGAAGGCTCGAGCAGCAGCTGAAGCGCGAGCGGAGGGAGAGGCGCAGCCGGAGGAGACGGCAGCGAGCAGCGGCTGAGCGCGGAGCAAGAGGAGGCTGGGAGCAGGAGGAGAGGGAAGAGCGGCTGGAAGCGGAGCAGGGAGAGAGGCGCGAGCAGGCGGCTGAAGCGCGGCAGGAGGGGAGGCCGAGCAGCGGCCTGGAAGCGGAGCAGGAGAGAGGCGCGAGCAGAGCTGAACGCGGCGAGCAGGAAGAGAAGGCGCGCGGGCTGAAAAGCGCGGCAAGAGACGGCTGGAGCAGGAGGGAGGAGCGGCAGCAGCTGAAGCGGAGCAGGAGGGAAGGCGCGAGCAGCGCTGAAGGCGGCAGGAGGAGAGGGCGGAGAAGCAGCTGAGCCAGCAGGAGGAGGAGGCGCTGAGCAGCGGCTGGAGCCGAGCGGAGCTGGCAGAGGAGGAGCAGAACAGCCCGAGAGCGGGTTAAGAGCCACCCGGGTGGCAAGTGGCTAAAGCGGCCGACGCGGCCAGAGCAACTCTACTCGAGGCCCTACAGGCAGGAAGAGCAGAGGCGTCGCAGGAGCAGGGGAGTGTTTTTAGTTGTGTTGGCGCATTGATGTTTGCGGAGCAAGCATACGAGCAGGAGGAGCACGGCCGCCGGCAGGAGCAGGAGGAGGAGCAGCGGCGGCGCGGATGAGACAGGAGCTGCAAGTTATCAGGGGAGGAGAGCAGCTGCGCGCGGAGGCGCGCGGACAGCTCCAGGAGGAGGCAACCTCAGGAGGATCCGATGGAGGGCAACGCCAGGAGGGCACGCGCGCGACCAAAAATGGAGGTGGCAACATAGATGGAAGAAAGTCAAGACGCCGCCGACGCTGTACGCCAAGCCGGCCTAGAGGAGCAGCTGAGAAAGAGAAGCAGAGAGGAGCAAGCCGCGCCCAGGAGCGGGACAGGCATACCTCCAGGAGGAGCTGCAGCGGGAGGAAGAGCAGCTGCAGACGGAGGAAGGCAGCTGCAGAGAGAGGACGCGAGAAGAGGAGCGCCAGGAGCGCGAAGGCGTACCGGAGGAAAGCAAGCTCAAGCGGGAGAGCAGCTGCACAGAGAGGAACTCGAGAGAGAATGGGCCAGGAGCAGCGAACAGCATACCGGAGAGAGAGGAGCTGCATGCGGGAAGGAAGAGCAGCTTGCAGGAGAGGAACGAGAACGAGAGGCCGGAGCGACAGGCAGTACGGAGAAGAGGAGCTGCAGCGGGAGAGGCAGCTGAGAGAGAGGACTCGGAAGAAAGGCGCCAGGAGCGGGAGACTTCCGGGAGGAAGAGCAGCTGCAGCGGAGGAAGAGCTGCAGAGAGAAGCGAGAGAGAAGGCGCCGAGCGCGCAGGCATACCGAGAAGAGAAGCTGCAGCGGGGAAGGCATGCTTGCAGAGGAGGAACGCGAGAAGAGAGCGCCAGGAGCGGGAGAGGCAGTACCGGGAGGAAGAGCAGCTGCAGCGGGAGGAAGAGCAGCTGCAGAGAAGGACGCGAGAAGGAAGCGCCAGGACTGGAGAGGCAGTACCGGAGGAAGAGGAGCTGCAGCGGGAGGAAGAGCAGCTGCAGAGAGAGGAACGCGAGAAGAGAAGGCGCCAGGAGCGCGACAGGCAGTACCGGGAGGAAGAGGAGCTGCAGCGGGAGGAAGAGCAGCTGCAGAGAGAGGAACGCGAGAAGAGGAGGCGCCAGGAGCGCGACAGGCAGTACCGGGAGGAAGAGGAGCTGCAGCGGGAGGAAGAGCAGCTGCAGAGAGAGGAACGCGAGAAGAGGAGGCGCCAGGAGCGCGACAGGCAGTACCGGGAGGAAGAGGAGCTGCAGCGGGGAGGAAGAGCAGCTGCAGAGGGAAAGGAGACGCCAGGAGCGGGAGCAGGAGGAGCTCCAGCGCCAGGAGAGAAGGCAGCGATTCCGGGATGAGGATCAGCGCGGCGATCTGAAATGGCAGTGGCAACCAGAAAAAGAAACCGAAGTTCGTAATAACAGGGTTTACAGCAAACGTAGAGAGAATGAAGGAAAGTTCCAGACATTGGAAGATTCCCAGGTGCGGGAGAGACAGTTCCTGCAGGATCGGTGGCCCCTGCTGGATGACCAGAAGAGAGATGCAGAGCAAGGGCGGAGGCTCTGGCAGCAGCGCGACAGGCAATTGCCAGCCGAAGAACAGCTGGAGCGCGAAGAGCAAAAGGAAGCCAAAAGACGAGAGAGGAAGTTCCAGGAGGAAGAGCAACTGCTGAGAGAGGAAAGAGAAGAGAAAAGACGCAGTCAGGCGAGAGACAGAAAATTCCGCGAAGAGGAACAACAACTCCAGGAAAGAGAAGAGCAGCTGCGCCGCCAAGAGCGCGACAGAAAGTTCCGCGAGGAGGAACAGCAGCTGCGCCGCCAGGAACGCGAGCAACAGCTGCGCCAAGAGCTGACAGACAATTCCGCGGGGAGGAACAGCTGCTCCGGGAAAGAGAAGAGCAGCTGCGCCGCCAAGAGCGCGACAGAAAATACCGCGAGGAGGAACAGCTCCCCCAGGAAAGAGAAGAGCAGTTGCGCCGCCAAGAGCGCGACAGAAAGTTCCGCGAGGAGGAACAGCAGCTGCGCCGCCAGGAACGCGACAGACAATTCCGCGAGGAACAGCTCCTCCAGGAAAGAGAAGAGCAGCTGCGCCGCCAAGAGCGCGACAGACAATTCCGCGAGGAGGAACAGCAGCTGCGCCGCCAGGAACGCGAGCAACAGCTGCGCCAAGAGCGTGACAGACAATTCCGCGAGGAGGAACAGCTCCTCCAGGAAAGAAAAGAGCAGCTGCGCCGCCAAGAGCGCGACAGAAAGTTCCGTGAGGAGGAACGCGAGCAACAGCTGAGCCGCCAGGAACGCGACAGAAAATTCCGCGAGGAAGAACGGCTCCTCCAAGAAAGAGAAGAGCAACAGCTGCGCCAAGAGCGTGACAGAAAGTTCCCTGAGGAGGAACAGCAGCTGCGCCGCCAGGAACGCGAACAACAGCTTCGCCAGGAGCGTGACAGAAAATTCCGCGAGGAAGAACGGCTCCTCCAAGAAAGAGAAGAGCAACAGCTTCGCCAAGAGCGTGACAGAAAATTCCGCGAGGAGGAACAGCAGCTGCGCCGCCAGGAACGCGAGCAACAGTTGCGCCAAGAGCGCGACAGGAAGTTCCGCGAAGATGAACAGCTCCTCCAGGAAAGAGAAGAGCAGCTGCGCCGCCAAGAGCGCGATAGAATATTCCGAGAGGAGGAACAGCAGCTGCGCCAAGAGCGCGACAGAAAATTCCGCGAGGAGGAACAGCTCCTCCAGGAAAGAGAAGAGCAGCTGCGCCGCCGAGAGCGCGACAGGAAGTTCCGGGAGGAGGAACAGCAGCTGCGCCGCCAGGAACGCGAGCGACAGCTGCGCCAAGAGCGCGACAGGAAGTTCCGCGAGGAGGAACGGCTCCTGCAGGAAAGAGAAGAGCAGCTGCGCCGCGGAGAGCGCGACAGAAAGTTCCGCCTAGAAGAACGGCAGCTGTGGCTTGAGGAGCAGGAAGAGCAGAGGCGCCAGCAGGAGCGAGACCGGCAGTACCTGGCAGAGGAGCAGTTTGCCTGGGAGAAGAGTCGTCGCCAGGAACAAAAACTGCGGCAGGAAGAAGAGCAGAGACGTCGCCAGGAATTGGAGAGGAAATTTCGGGAGGAAGAACAGCTCCGCCGCCAGCAGGAGGAGGAGCAGAGGCGCCGCCAAGTCCGGGAGAGACAATCCCAAGAAGACAAGGGCCGTGGGCAGGTTCTGGAGCCCGGCACGCGTCAGTTTGCCTATGTCCCAGTGCGCTCCAGCCCTCTCTATGAGTACATCCAAGAGCAGAGATCTCAATACCGCCCTTAAGAGATGCTACCAATATCCTGACACCGGCCAAAGTTTCCAACAAAGAAAAATGAGAAACACTGGGTACCAACTAATAAATGTTTCTGGTTGTGGGAAAATTCTTTGATGTTAGAATGTGTCTTTTCTTCCAAAATCCTAAGCTACACTCATTTTATGTTCCTTGTATTCTTGCCTGTTATTCTTCCTAAAGTAGTTCTTTACTGCAAGATGTCTTTACTCTTTGGTGCAGATGTGTCTGCTGTAGTTGGTGTAGTACTCAGTTCTGTGCCTCCAAGTTTTGATGGGTTTGAGAATATTACTAACCTTTGTTAGTAATTTTAGCTTAGAAGGAACCTGCTCAAAATCCTATAAACACTTTTCTTACTCTAGGGCCAATAAGACATCACAGAGAGCATGTTGGGGGAGGGAAAGGGGAAAATGTGTGAACAAAGTGGCAAGTTTCTAGAGGCCTTTTGACAAATCCATCAGCCCACAATCCTATGAGGCCCATTGATACTACCTTGGAGACATTCTTGTTGAAACAATTGGACTGTGTGAAAAATTAATAATAAATGTTTGGCAAATAATTATTTTTGTTTGTTTTAACTATGTGTCAATCATAACTCAAGGTCTAATGGTCTGGAAACTCACATAAGTTCCCAATCACTTAAGGGTATTTTGTTACCATTATCTATGTCCAAATATGAAAGGGAGGGATCCTGTATTTTCCCCCAACCATTTTTCCCAGTTAGGGTGAACCCTATATTATTTCCATCCACACACTGGGATTCTCTAAGTGTTTTAGTTCTTGACCCCACAGCTTCCTGTGCCATTTCTTGCAGCGCCTCACTAGACATGATAAATACTGGTGCTCCCAATGTCTGTTAATATTTCCTTCTGAAAATGCAGCAGCTTCTTGGTCTCTGATGTCTGATAAGCCAGTGGTAGAAAATGGCCTGAAACTTTAGACCAGTATTGTAGGAACTGTAGATGACCAGTTGATTTAAGCAACACAATCCATGAGGTGGCTGAGTCAGGAGGTACTTAATAGTAATTAGGCCAAAGCATCAGATTATCATCTAATAATCCAAACACCCCTAGGCCACTTGCTGGAGTCTATATTTAGTAACCACAGTTTACTAGGAATAAGTCCAAGAAGGCCCTGACCAGGACAGTATCATTTCTAATTGTAAGGGTCATGATAAGAAGATGCCCTAAAAGTATAGTCACTCAAACTTTTGGTCAATAGTAGAGACAAGGAAGTTCAGTCTATGGCTCCTGAATATCATTCCAACAGAGTAAGGTGGCATTTTCGGCAAGGAGCACAGTCCCTCTCTTTCTCTGTTTCACTTTAATACCAATGGCAAATGCCCACCAAAAACAGACCTAGGAATCTCCTGACACCATCATGGAATTTCATTTCTTTCAAATGATTTCTAATTGCTAAGCTATTTTTCTCCTAAAGAATTTTCAAAGAAACCTTGGAAGACCCTGACTGGCTTTCGTCAGAAAATCCTTTCAATGGGCACTCATTTGAGAGCCTCTTTATAAATGCTCAGCCTCAGGATATTATTGAAACATACACTCATCAGCTAAGCTACAGTTTAACAATAATAATTATGGTAAAAAAAAAAAAATAAAGCCCTGCAGACTTCTTGTAGCCCTTTACAAGAAGAGGAAAAGGCCAATTTCCAAAGAAGAAAGTATTATTTCATCACAATTATAATAACACGTAGTTAAAAAAAAAAAAAATGTGTCAGCCAGTCCATGCCCTCTGGCTATTCTTTTAGCATGCTAGAAGGAGAATATGGAGGCCAAACCTCCTGCTCCACCTGAACAATATACATGCATGGGTAGAACTTTGAAGCTATTGAGCAACTGCCTGCTTAACTATAAACTGGGAGCTCTATTAACATCACCTTGGCTGCAGCTGGGGAATGGAGTGAAGGGTTTAATCTGCTGTGATGGAAAAGCTGGTCTCCATGTGTTATGGGCTGAATTGTGCCCCCCCCATCCCCCCACGGCAAAGGTTTATGTGTTGAAGTCCTAATCCTCACTTCTTCAGAGCGTAACCATATTTGGAGATATGATATTTACAAAGGTAAAAATTAAAATGAGGTTGTTAGGTTGGGCCCTAATCCAATATGACTGGTGTCCTTATAAGAAGAGGAAATTTGGACAAAGACTGTGCGCACAGGGAAGATGATGTGAAGACACAGGGAGAATATGGCCATGTACAAGCCAAGGATAGACCTGGAACAGATCCTTCCCTCATGGTCCTAAGAAGAAACCAATCCTGGCAACACCTTGATCTTGGACTTCTAGACACCAGAACCATGAGAAAATAAATTTCTGTTATTTAAATCACCCAATCTGTGGTACTTTGTTATGACAGCCCTAGCAAACTGATACACCATGTGTTAGTAAGATGAGATGATGTTGCTAGGTAAGCCTATCTGTATTGTGATGACATTTATCCTTTGACATTATGCAATCAGGTCCTGATGGCTCAAAGATCTCTTTTTTAAATTAAATCTGCCATAGTTTCTATGGTGCAGTGGAAAGAATGCCAGAAGGAAGCATTCATTCATTCATTCAACAAATATTTATTGAGCTCTTGCTATGTGCCAGGCATTGTTCCAGGCAATATATATACATACAGTGATGAAGCAGTCAATCTGGCCTGTTTATTCACTTTACTATCTGTGTGTCCTTGTGCAAGCCATTTAAGCTTTCTGGGCCTCCACTGTTTCATATTTCAAACTATGAGGCTGGAATAGCTATCACGAAGGTTATTCTCAGGACTGAAAAAAAAAAAATTTAATTCTAACGTTGAGCTTTTGTGCAACTGAAACTCTCAAAGCAACTCAAATAATTCTTCACCACAACTTCTATCTTTAGCTAACAGAAAACAGAGGGGAAAATTAACTGATGAAGGGGATTATTCAGAGCCTAGTTCAAGCTTCAAATATCTTTCCTTTCTAGCAAACCAGCCCTAAACTTCTCTCCTTTTGTCTCCTCCCCAGAGCTCCTTCCTGTCATCCCAGGTTTATTCATTGAGGAAGAAGACCCTAAACCTACCCCATTTTTCTTAACCTTAGTACTACCAAGGATCATTGTCCTTCTGTTTTATAAACTTCACATATGCATTTAATTATTCTCATTCTTTTCTGAGAAGGAAACTAAGTCCTAGAATTTGGTTCCACTCAGAGTAAACTTCAGTGGCCATTAGTTTAAGGACTGAACCCATCTCTGCTCCATCTTCTGCACTAATTACACATTCTAACATTTGCATTCAGTAATGGTAATTGTGAGTTTTTTCAGGAAGTGTACTGAGACTGTAATCTGTTGAAGATTATAATCTATGTAATATGTAATAAGCATGTTTCCCTTGTTAGTAAGGAGCTAATAATGACATACAATAATCTGAAACCAACCCAGACAAACTTCTGAGCAGGTTGTCATTTTCTGAGCCTTCAAAACATCCACGGAAAGCATTCAAACTACAAAAACTTTTAAAAATATGATTTGTTAACATTTGTCTTTAAAAAAAAAATGTGTCGCATTTTCTGCAAGATAAAGTCCAAGATCTTCAGTTTAGAATTTAAGGCCCTCCACAATTTAGCATCAGTCTTTTGAACTCTGGCTCCCATGATATCCCTGGAGCTAACCATGTGTTCAAACCAGATTAGTCTATTTTCTGTCATTAATATGCCTATGACAGTTCTTACTTCAAAGACATATTGGCATAATTTTATCTATTTGAAATGCATCTCTTCTTCCTGTCTATCCAGGCAATTTCTATTGGGACCCAGGTTGGATCCCATCTCCCTAAAATCTTTCTATCCTGACACACAATAATCACTCTCTTCATTGAGGTTCTAAGACATCTATTATATTCACTACTCATTGATAACAATATTCTGCCTTAGTTCGCTTTATAATTGCTTCATCTTCCCAATTAGATTGCAAAAATGTTGAAAACAGAGACTACGACTTGGAGATTCTTTATTTTGTATATTCTTTCCATGATACACAATAAGCAATAGAGCTCTATGAAATTCTGAGGTACTATGTGGACTCTCTCACTAGACAAATATATACTCAAATATTTTGCCTGGGATTTCAAAAGTTCTTAGTTCCAATAAAGCCTTCTTAACTTCATGCTAAGAAACATGGTTCAAGCAGTTGTAAGAATTAGATATTCAATGTAGGCATTCAATAAATACATATCAAATGAATAAATTAATATATCCCTTATAGCTCTTTTCTATGCAGAGCCTCTACTGCCTGTCTGTGAACTAGGCCATTCCTGCCTTCTGAATATTGAAGCCCTAAGTCCTTTCTTGTATCTTGAAAATCTCTCAACCTTAGGCATTACTGAGGCATTACTGAATATTCATGATTTCTTCTCCCTCAATTTATTCTGGTTCTGTCTGGGAATCAGAGGGAGCTCTGGTCTTAGTATCTATTAGTGCCCCTTAGTGAGATGAGAATGCAAGGCTAGTTAAAGGGAAAGGTTAATTCCTGTCCCATGTATTGCTGTGGTGGGTGCAGTGAGAAGTAGAGATGAGATTTTCATTCCAGACTGGGAATAACAATTTATCAGTAGTAATCAAAGTCATAGAGTAGATGAGATTATTTAGGACATGGGGTAAGAAAAGAAGAACAGGGCTTTTGAGTAACATCAGCATTTAAAAGAAAGGCAAAAGTAAAAAACTAAAAAGGAGAATTAAAAGAAGTAGTCAGGTAAAAGGAAAACCATTTGTATATGATATCACAAAAGCTAGGAAAGAACAAACATGCTACAAGAAAGAAGAGATATTAGTTTCTGAGAAGCCAAGTAAGATAAGTGCTGAAAAGTGCCTGATGATTTGCTAACATGGTGGTCAGTGATGATCAGTGGAACGAATTGAAGAATGCAAGGAAAAAAAGTAAAAACATAAAAAGACAAATGTTTCAAGAATACTAAATTATGAGGTGGAGGAGCAAGGTCAGATGGGGTTGTGGGCCCAAGGTAGGATTTTATAAAATGGGAGAGACTTGAGTTTGTATACGTGCTGATGAGAAAGAACTAATAAAGAGAAGTTGGAGTACAGAAAAGGGAGAGAATGATCAGCATAGCAAATTTCTTGAGAAGGTGAAGGCAGAAGATAGCATCCAGAGAGAGAAATTGGACCTAGATGAACACCTTTTCTGATAGGATAGAAAGAAAACATGGATGTAGATAAATGCCAGTAAATTTGTAGTTTGGTGGAAGAAAGTTTAGGAATTCTGGTTTGATTATTTTTTACTTTTTTTATGAAGTAGAGAGGAAAGAATTATCTTCCAAGAGTGAGAAGGGAGTAGTAGGGGTCATATAATTGAAAAAGTAGAGATAGTTTAAAATAGACAGAGTGAGACCCAACCAGGGGTGAGATTTTTCCAGGTTGATGTGACTACAAGTCAAAGAGGGAAAGGGAACTGAGGACACCAGCCAGAAATGGGGTTACTGAAGTAATGGACCATGAAATCTGTATTAGCCTTGGTTCTCTAAAGAAACAGAACCTACTTTATATAGACAGTGTATATATACACAAAGAG